GTAAAAAAAAGGTCGGACAGTGACCTTCGCGTCCGGGTCCCGCTTCGCGTCCGGGTCCCGCCTCGCGCCCGGGTCCCGCTAACGAATAGGCCCGGGGTAGCCCCTGCCTGTCGTAAAAGGCGACTCAAAGGGGAGGAGAAGAAGAGGAAAGAGCGGGGGAGGACGAGCGCGAAGGCCCGCCAAACCAAAGGCGGGCCGGGTGCGGGGGGGCGGTGCGGATGTAATGACTCCGTCAATTCCCGGCCGCCCCCCCAATCAAAGCACCGCGCAGACCACCGTAGGGTTTATTGGGTAGGCCGCGCACCCGGCACGTCTGCTGGGTGCACTCCGATCGACACTAGGAGGGCAGTCCCACATAACCCGGGCCATTAGTAATCTCCCTTCCCAGAGGGGGGCCCGGGTATCCATAAAGGATTTCCCTACGTCAAAAAAAAGGTCGGACAGTGACCCGAAGAGGGCATCGAGTTCTGAGGCGAGGGCGGCTGTTGTCTGGGCAGTCGTCTGATATAACTGCTCCTGCCTGGAGACGGTCGTTCTTGCCCGTATGACCGCAGGTGCCCGTCCACGTTGCTCGATGCTTACCGAGGCGCGGGCCGTCCGTGGTCTAGCTTCGGCGGGTGGCACGTAGCGGGGAGCCTGCGGCGTCAGTCCCGGTACCGGCGGGTGTCCCGGAGCTCTTCTTCTGGGAGCCATCCTCTCGAGCCGTGCGCGTAACTTGCCCATCCTGCTGCTTTCTTTTTGGTGTTCGGTGCGAGTGCTCCCTTATATACCCGATCTTCGCGTGTTTTTGTGTGATGTTATACACCCTTCAGATCCTTTACGTGAGCTGTCCCCACCAGTCGGTTGTTGTGATCTCGTAATCGGTATACAACCGGTGAGATTGCTCGGTCAACGGTATACGGTCCGGAATATTTTGGTGCTAATTTGCCCGTGAAGTGTTCGCCTGCTTTCGAAAGTGGGTGGCGGCGCATGACTTGGTCTCCGGGATCCATTCTCGTCGACGGAGGTTGAAGTAATGTTTCTAGCGGTATGTGGCGTCCCTTTGTCGTGCGGTGGCGGTCGCGGCTTCCTCTGGCATCCTGTCGAGCTGTTGGACGCGTGTCGCGGTGCTTGTTTCGTCGGTGTCGTCTGTTAACGGCGGTTGGCATTGCGCGTGTAGTGTTTCCGGGGCGGTGAGTTCGCGTCCGTATGTCAGTCTGGCCGGGGTAAATCCGGTGCTCTCCTGCACTGCGGTGTTCATCGCGAAGACCAGTTCCGGGAGTTTCTGGTCCCACCGTCGGTCGTCCTTCTCTATATACTGGGCGATCATTGTTTTTAGTGTTCGGTTCGCCCGTTCCACCGGGTTGCACTGCGGCGAGTACGGTGGTGTCTTTCTGTGCTGTATGCCGGCCCGTTCGAGTAGTCCGCGTAATTCCTTGCTCTCAAACTGTCGTCCGTTGTCGGTGATTATCCTCTTGGGGCAGCCGTGTTGTAGTATGACGTTTTCCCTGACTACCTTGGTTACTGCCGTGGCGGTGGCCTGTCTGAGCGGTTTAACGGTAACCCACTTTGTGAACGTAACCTGTGCCACGAGTATCCATGTATTCCCGTCCACTGAGCGTGGTAGCG